AAAAAATAAAAGTTGTAGCCGGTGAACTCCCCGGGCCCCCGGGACCATCGTCATTGATCTGCTAAAATGTGGTAGAAAGTATTGGAGTGGTGGATGGAAGGGAAAAGTTGTGATGGTTCTTCTGGTGTTTTGTAGCACATGTGTGACCCTCGTTCATGCTACGTTGAAGAGATCCAGGTGTCCCCCACCAGCGTCTATGTTTCCAACTGGGAGAGTTGTCATGGATGCAGTTCATCATGGGCAGCCTCATCTTCATCATGTTCGTAGTGCTCTATGCTGAGGGTGTGCTGCCCGTTGAGGTTGATCTAGGCTTCCCTAACACAGTCGCCGGCCAAACCAGAAATCCCCGAGCTGATAATCGCGTAAGTTACTCTGGTTTAATTGAAGTTTGCTGTAGCCGGCAAGTAGTAAAAAGAAAGTATCTTGAAATCAAGGAACTTAAAAAAAGCAATAAAAGTGAAACATAGTACTAATAAAGACATCCTTTTGTTGTATCTCTAGATTATTATTATTATTATTATTATTATTATTATTATTATTATTATTATTATTATTATTATTATTATTATTATTATTATTACCTGAAAATTCTATCCAAAGGAAAACAGGTAAATAAAATTTTGTAACAATTTCTTTACAATTTTTGTTGTTTGTTTTGCACCAAAACTAACCTTGCAACTTGCCTTAATTTTGTAAAAAATACATAATAATAAATGTTTTAATTTATCTAATCTAAGAGAGTGCATAATTAACTATTTTCCTTAACCCGGGGGGGGGGTGCTAATTCTTCAGATGATCTATTATTTTTCTCATTCTTCTAAAATTCATAAAATGTAACTAGGCTCGTCAGTATAAATGCGAGTTAATTTCCACGATAAAACATTGTTCGGATTTTTAACCGTGGGGGGTTAGCCACCCAGGATAACCCAAGGAAGTCAGTGCGTCATGGAGAATTCTGTCTTATTTCCATTGGGGTCCTTCAATCTTGTCTCCCAGGATGCGACCCACACCAGTCGACTAATACCCTGGGTACCTACTTGCCTGCTAAGTGAACGAGGACAGCAGGTGTAAGGAAACTCCCAGTGTTTCCACCCTGTCGGGGATTGAACCTCGAATGCTCAGCGCAAAGGTACATGATGTAATAAAGCCGTAATCATATTCTGCCAGGTTGTCACGCCGTGCCCATCCTCTGATGAGTTGTCACGCCGTGCCCATCCTCTGATGAGTTGTCACGCCGTGCCCATCCTCTGATGAGTTGTCACGCCATGCCCATCCTCTGATGAGTTGTCACGCCATGCCCATCCTCTGATGAGTTGTCACGCTATGCCCATCCTCTGATGAGTTGTCACGCCGTGCCCATCCTCTGATGAGTTGTCACGCCGTGCCCATCCTCTGATGAGTTGTCACGCCATGCCCATCCTCTGAAGGGTAGCTACTTCATACCCATCCTGTCAGTAGAAGTCATCAAGCATTCATCCTGTGGGCGGTAGTCATTTCATACCCATCGTCTGCCCGATCCCTCTTATGTATGAAGGGATGGTGTTTATACATTCACACGTACACATATATACATAAACGCACATACAGATAGAAGCATAGACATACACATACATACACAAGCATACATGATCATTAAAATGGTATAAAATACCGACAGGTTGTTAGGTAAGACACATATGCAACAGTTAGGTATCTTTATTTCGAAACGTTTCGCCTACACAGTAGGCTTCTTCAGTCGAGTACAGAAAAGTTGATAGAAGCAGAAGAGACTTGAAGACGATGTAATCAGTCCATCAAACTTTGGAACAATGTTCTTCTCCAGACTGAGGGACTGACCACCTCAAAACTTTAAGGGTGATGGACTGATTACATCGTCTTCTAGTCTCTTCTGCTTCTATCAACTTTTCTGTACTCGACTGAAGACCTACTGTGTAGGCGAAACGTTTCGAAATAAAGATACCTAACTGTTGCATATGTGTCTTCCTAACAACAGCATACAAGCCACACGACATACGTCAAGCACGAGTACAGATATCAACATATGCACAGTATACATTCGCCACTTAAACATACAAAAATCACGTACACAACATATCATCACACAAATTAGATACATATCATGTAACACGAAATTGCATACATGGTACACAATACATACAACTCATACATCACGAAAGTGCTACATCCACACACACACTATGACACATAACTAATAATCACAATATAAACGCAACAAATACTGACATATATATACAATAATCAACACAAATAGGTAAGTATGACGTAAGCATACGCAGGTGTTATACTGTTGATGCTGTATACAAAACACACCCCACACACATAAGATAAGATAATAAGATTTCGTTCGGATTTTTACCCCGGATGGTTAGCACCCAGTGATGACCCAAGGAAAGTCTGCTGCATCGAGACTGTCTAACTTATTTCATTGGGGTCCTTAGATCTGTCCCCCAGATAGCGATCCCAACCAGTCGCTACACACCGCATGTACCTATTTGCTGCTAGTGAACAGGACACAGGGTGTAAGGAAACGTGCGAATTGTCTACCTTTTCACCCGCGGGGAATACGAACCTCGGGCCCTCCAGTGTGTGATAGCGGGACTTTAGCACGCATCCCCGGGCCACGCATACACCACACTACCACTCCAACACACACTGCACACACACACACACCACAACACACACCACACCACACACTAGCCATCACACAACCACACACACCACACACACACCACACACACCCACCACACACACACATACACAAACACACATAATCTCACACACATGAATTATTGTATATTGCATTGTATTAGAATTTTATGCTTGCCATGTACTAGTTATCCTGTGTGCAGTGATGCCCAGGGGCTGGGCATCACTGCACTTGTACTAGTCATCTTGCGTGCAGTGATGCCCAGGGGCTGGGCATCACTGCACTTGTACTAGTCATCTTGCGTGCAGTGATGCCCAGGGGCTGTGCATCACTGCACTTGTACTAGTCATCTTGTGTGCAGTGATGCCCAGGGGCTGTGCATCACTGCACTTGTACTAGTCATCTTGTGTGCAGTGATGCCCAGGGGCTGTGCATCACTGCACTTGTACTAGTCATCTTGTGTGCAGTGATGCCCAGGGGCTGTGCATCACTGCACTTGTACTAGTCATCTTGCGTGCAGTGATGCCCATGGGCTGGGCTTATGAGACATGGGGATACTTTTCCCTGATCGAGCGAAGACTGAAACGCATATATACAGTAGCTTGGTAAATGGATTGGCTGGTCTAGTGTATTACCATGTATCTGAAATTATTGTGGAAGAATAAAAGTAGATCCTTCAACTTTTCTCTTGGGTGGTAATCTTTACTTGGTAACAGAAAAATTAGTTGGGGTGGGAATACAAATGTGTGTTGGCTTGCTGACCCCTCTCATAATAACGGTCTTGCTTGCTAGAATAACAGTATCTCACGAGGAATGTGCCCAGCTTTGTAAGATACTGCCCTGGCCTTTTAGTTCTTAAGATTATAATTCATAACCTAGATATGGATTTTGTAACCGTCTTTCATGGGCTAACTCAGGAGGTCCTGGGCAGGTTGCAAGAAACCTGCAATATAATTCAATATTGGCGTTTTATATATTATATTTCCCAGTTCGTGTGCAGTAAATCACTTACACATAAGGCAGCATTGTCTTTCACTCTGGCTGTAAATTTTCTTGTGGGAAATATTATTATGTATTCGTCATTTAAAAGACAAATTTACATTATTTAAAGGTGCAATAATGTGTAACTGGTCCAGGAAGAAGGGAACACGTCTTGGCTTCCTACATCTTTCATTTCCTTTTATTTTGTTTCGTCCTGTACTTGAAGCTCAAGGTAACTAAATCTTCAAGTAAAAAATGTAGCATGTATCATTAATTCGTAGATTTATTATATTCTACACTAATTGTATCTATTCACGAATAATTCAATAATTCAAAGATTTCGGGAGAAATGGTTAATGTCTGAACGTTGACTTGTGATGTTTCCTTCCTAATAGTTATAACCTTCCCACCTGTATGAAGAGTCCTGCCTTGTTTCACTCCTTCCGCCCTCCTTCCAATAATCATACATTATATCAAAGGAAGAATCTCCTTATAATTGGTTTCATGAGGGAACCATCATAAAATTACCAAAGAAACGAGGATAGTCATCTGCACTGGCAGTCATATTTGTGTTCGATGTGTGCTGATATGAATATAAAGAAGAGAATAATGAATAATTTGTGGGTGAGGTGTTTGTGTAACAGAACTGTAGTCAGTGGATGGGGCAGTTCCATTGTGGCATGATGTCTGAGAATAGTCTTTCAGAATCCTTATTCTCACGTGTGTCACAGGACATTGTCTTATGATAGATCTGTGAGGAAATTTAATGTGGACGTTATGTGGAGCGGTGGAAGGAAGGGAGCTGCTGTACTGCAGTTCCTGCTGGTAGTCAGCAACTGGCTGACCCTTGTCCAGGCTGTCATCGAGTCTGTCCAAGTCACTCCCAGTAACACTTCTGGCTTTCTTGATAGGAGAACTGTCTTTTCTACAGTTCCTGGTGGCTTGCGCTTTATTTCTCCAGTTAGTAGCAATCTACGCTAATGGTGGCCTGCCCATCGAAATCGATCTGGACTTCGCCAACAGAGGGGGAAACCCTAACACCGCCAGAGATCGCAGAGCCGACACCAAAGTGTGAGTTACACTTCTTAATGACAGAGTCAGAAATATGATTGCCGAGGAAGTCGTAGGACGATAATTAAATTACAATATATAAATACAATTTGTGATAATAGAGAGTGCAAAGTGCCATGAGAGACGGATAGATAATTTGAAGACAAGAATACGGATTCATCACATGCATTATAAATTACACCCTAGTGTACATATATACAATATTCATACTAAAATTTTAGAAAGGATGAAGGGAGGTTAAAGATATTAATATGATTCCAAAAATAATAATGCAAAGAAATGTGTAGAGTTACAGAGGAATGATATACATTTGTAAGAAAGATAAGATGACATATATTTAGTATTTATGTAAATCACTTTACAATTACATTTACAAATGTACACGAATTTTAAATTTTACTTAGGGTAGCGGGGAAAAGTTTATATATATATATATATAATATAATATATATATAATATATATATATATATTATTATATATATATATATATATAATATATATATATATATATATATATATATACTTAAAATTTAGAGTTCATGTTCAACTGCTCTCTTGTATTATTAGTCAAGAAAAGATTTTTACAGTGTAATAATAAATATAAGGTAATATTTTCATAGGTGAATATGTATACATGGAGAGGGTTTCGGGGGTCAAAAGTGCCCGTGGCCCGGTGGTGGATCAGGTCTGATCAACCAGGCTGTTAGGTCATGTGAGTCATTACAAAAAGTAAAAAAGACATTAATTACGAATTGTCACTAATAATGATTTCGTGCGTTTGTACCTTTTTAAATGTAATAATAAGTAAGTTTATTTTTGGCACAGGTACACATAAAATACCATTATCATACATTGTGTAAATTACCCAGCATAACCATAGAATAACCAAGGATGGACCCATAATAAAAAGGGGGCAGTAAAGCAATTGCAAAGAACTACAGACCGATAGCACTAACATCCCATATCATAAAAATCTTTGAGAGGGTTTTCTAAGAAGCAAGATCGCCACCATCTAGATGCCAATCAATTACACAACCCAGGGCAACAGGGGTTTAGAGCAGGTGGCTCCTTCCTGTCCCAGCTATTGGATCACCATGACATGGTCCTGGATGCTATAGAGGATAAACAAAATACAGATGTAGTATGCACAGACTTTGGGGAAAACCTTCAACAAGTGCGACCATGGTGTAATAGCGCCCCAAAAAAAAGAATAACAGAAAAAGTTGGTAGATGGATCTATAACTTCCTATCAAATAGAACACAAAGAGTAATAGTAAACAGAGTAAAGTCTGAGGCAGCTAGAGTGAAAAGCTCTGTTCCACAAGGCACAGTACTCACTACCATCCTATTCCTCATCCTCTATCTGACATAGAGATTTTAAGCCATAGCTCTGTGTCTTCCTTTGGAGATAACACCCGAATTATCATGAAAGTGTCCTCCAGCGGAGACACTGCAAGACTCCAAGCGGACATCATACAAATCTTCAAATGGGCCACTCAAAACAGTATAAAGTTCAATGAAGAGAAATTTCAACTACTCAGATGTGGAAAACTTGAGGAAATTAAAACTGTATCAGGGTATACACAAATTCTAACCATACAATAGACCGAAAAGTAATGTGAAGGACCTGGGATTGATAATGTCAGAGGATCTACACCTTCAAAGACCACAACAATGTATCTACCGTATCTGCTAGAAAAATGATAAGATGGATACTGAGAACCTTCAAAACTAGGGATGCAAAGCCCATGATGATTCTCTTCAAATCTCTTGTTTTCTCTAGGCTGGAATACTGCTGTATACTAACTGCCCCTTTAATGTAGACGAAATTGCTGACATTGAGAGTATACAAAGGAATTTCAAGTCACACGAAAGTACGATAAGCACCTAAATTACTGGGAACGGTTGAAGTCCCTTTGATTTTTGTTCACTGGAACGCAGGCGAGAAAGATACATGATAATTTACACTTGGAAAATCCTAGGGGGAGTGATGCCAAACTTGTACACGAAAATCACTATAAAAAGCAAAAGACTTGGCAGGAGATGCAACATTCCCCTAATGAAAAGCAGGGGCCACGAGTACACCGAGACAACACAATAAATGCCAAGGGCCCAAGACTGTTCAGCTGCCTATCAGCATACATAAGACGGATTCCCAAATAGACCCCTGGTTGTTTTCAAGAAGGCGCTGGACAGGCACCTAAAATCAGTATCTGACCAGCTGGGCTGTGGTTCCTACGTCAGTCTGCGTGCGGCCAGCAGTAAGAGCCTGACTGATCAGACCCTGATCCACAACGAGGCCTGGGTCTCAGACCGGGCCGCGGGGACGTTGACCCCTCCTTCCCCGAAACCCTCTCCAGGTATACAGTTCATTCAGCCACATGAACGCTCTCTCACCTAGGTTATCTCCTCGTATAACAAAATTTGTACATGGTTTCTATGCAATTGGTTTTTTTTTTTTTTAAGTTTTAAGCCTGTCAACTGCACGAGGGTCACTGAGACTGCCTTTCACATGTACACCAATCAAGAATACTTTTCTCCCTCAAGTAATCTCGATGTATTTACTTTGTAAGATATATTCCTCTCTGTGTACCTAATTAGTTGGGGTATCTATGAAGTGAACGTTATGGGAGCTCAGGTTCACATAAAAGATTTATAAGTGATTCTAACTATGACCATAATTTTTAAAGGGGTGGACCGGTAAACCAGCGGAAGGCCTCGGTCAGACGACCAAAAGCTCCATTGCCGGGTCATCATTTGATTAAGACCCCTACGCTCTTCTATGCGTTACTTATGTTGTGATAAAAGGTAGCACTGTTTCCCATCTAACAGGATGGATTTCATAGATGAGGTAGTGATATTTATCAGCCTGAGCCGGGAGATAGGGACGTCAGGCAATGCACTATTTTTTAATAACAAAATTCTGTACATCAGCAGTGTGCCTTTTTTCCAACTCTATATGACAGTTTCTTTAGTGGGAACAAAAGCTATCAAGCCAGAAGGATTTCTTACATCAAGTAATGAAATCTATCAGCTCGAGCTGGGAGACTCAGTAGGGTGATGAGGATACCGTTAAGCATTGCACCACTGCCAGCTACGAGAGCTTCGAAGGGTAAATTATAACTGTTAAGGGATGGACATGTAAGCCAGCGGAAGGCCTCGGTCAGATGACCATAAGCTCCAGTGGCAGGTCATCTTATGACTGAGACCCGCGTCATGAAACACTTGTCCTGTTTCCTGACGAATCTTACCTGATCTAACCCCCAAAGGCTTCGTTCCAGTAGAGCTAGAGTCGGACTCCAAATACCTGGTGTCAGACAAACCCCATCTGCTCCTCAACTCTCTGATATTGGCTGAATGAGCTGCCCAGTGCCTCTCCCACAATTCACTCACTCCTGTTTTGACACCTGATATAAAATACAAAATAGCCGTGTACTAAAAATCTGCCCCCTCAACCCCTCAGCTGCTATTGAAGTTTTGCATGTGGCGTCTTGGTTTACTCCTATCTTGTCGGCCATTTTGGACGTGAAATTTCACTGAGAACCACGTAAACACACCGAGCATATATGTGAGACTTCCCTCACATTTCTAATGTGATGTATAATATTCCTACGTTATCATTTCCAGTGAGCAATTATGGTTTGTGAAGGCTAGCATCTCCAGTTTAATGACAATAGTTATAATAATTTACCCCTGATGTGCTAATAAATTTTATATTATTTTGAATTTTTTTTTAATAAAATACACAAAATACCTCCAATCTTGAGACAATCACCTAATAATTTTTGTTTAAATATGGTACAACACTTAAATAACTACATTATTACACTGGTTTATAATACAAATCTACACTGCAACGCTAATTTAAAACTTAGTAGAGCGCAGGTTTACATTGAGTGTTAAAAATAGCATACAAATAACCCCTAAATCGTGGTTTACCTGCAGGTGGGAGCATCGATAGTTTTCGTGGACTGTCCACTACAGTTCGTGTGTGAGATGGAAACCTGGGCCAACCGAGACCACGACCGCTTCCTGGACAGACTTATTGCATCCTGGTTTAGGTGAGTGCCACACAGCCAAGTAGGAGTACCACAAAGAGAAGCTTTTGAGTGCAATTTCTAATTGGCAAAAGTCAATCGACTGCACGAGGGTCGTTAAAGCTGCATATAACCTCTAGTAGGTATTAAAATAAACTCTGAGCATGCAGACACATACACCTCAAGAAGTATGCAGGAACAAGCTACATTGTGATGGAAATCTTTAGCTCTAAATGTTTCACACTCGTGCACATCAGGAGCTATGCAATGCTGCAAGATAGCAAAAGATAGGAGGGGAAATTCTCTGAGGCAAGGCAGAAGGTATCAGTGATACCTTCTGCCTTGCCTCAGAGAATTTTTCCTCTTTGTTGCTGTCTTGCAACACTGCATAGCTCCTGACGACGCACGAGTGTGAAAGATCTAGAGGTAAAGATTTCCATCCCAATGTAGCTTGTTCTGCATTGCTAAGATCGCCTGTATATATATATGTCGTGCCGAATAGGCAGAACTTGCCATTTTGGCTTAAATAGCAACGCTCATCTTGCCATATAGGACAAGCGAAAATTTGTGTATGCAATAATTTCGCCAAAATCATTCTGAACCTAACGAAAAATATATATTTCACTGTGTTTGTTTAGTATTAAATTATTGTAAACAATCTAAAATATATTTAGTTGGGTTGGGCTAAAATAAATTGCGTTTGTTATAATAAGGTTAAGTAAGTTTTCTAAGATTCTTTTGGTGCAAAATTATAAATTTTTACATTAACATCAATGAAAAATATATATCTTTAAACGTATAAGAGAAAATTTCAGAAAGGACGTAATTTTAAATGAGTTTCTTGCTAAATGACCAGTTTTACATATTCGGCACGACATATATATATATATATATATATATATATATATATATATATATATATATATATAATATATATATATATATATATTATATATATATAATTTTTGTTGTGTGTGTGTGTGTGTGTGGTACTCACGTATTTGTACTCACCTATTGTGGTTGCAGGGGTCGAGTCTTAGCTCCTGGCCCCGCCTCTTCACCGGTTTGCTACTGGGCCCTCTCTCTCCCCGCTCCATGAGCTTTATCAAACCTCGTCTTAAAACTGTGTATGGTTCCTGCCTCCACTACGTCATTTTCTAGGCTATTCCACTGCCTTACAACTCTATGACTGAAGAAATACTTCCTAATATCTCTCTGACTCATTTGTGTCTTCAACTTCCAATTGTGGCCTCTTGTTTCTGTGTCCCCTCCCTGGAACATCCTGTCTTTGTCCACCTTGTCTATTCCACGCAGTATTTTATATGTCGTTATCATGTCCCCCTGACCCCCCTGTCCTCCAGTGTCGTCAGGCCGATGTGTGTGTGTGTGTGTGTGTGAGTGTGTGTGTGTGTGTGTGTGTGTGTGTGTGTGTGTGTGTGTGTGTGTGTGGTGTGTGTGTTGTGTGTGTGTGATGTATGTATGTATGTATGTATGTATGTATGTATGTATGTATGTATGTATATATATTATATCCTGGCGATGGATAGGCTTTTGATGTGTATTGTATTAAATGAGCGTCTGTTGTATCCAAGTTATTTTTTGGTAGAATGAGAGTAAGTGTAAGGTGTAGTGCCAATAAAAGGGATGGTAAAGACAAGTGAGGGTAATTGGTGTACACTGGCTGCTTAGTACTGAATACATCGATTCCAGGCTGAGGGACTGATTACCTCAAACTCCTCCTCTCCTTACCCCCTCTCTGTTTTGTATTGGACTAAAGAAGCCACTGTGCGGCGAAACGTTTCCTTAATAAAGATTCCCATATGCTGCATAAGTGTCTCAATCTTCAGAGACAGAAAGGAATGATCAAATGGACTATAAAAGAGGCGAACACAGAATACCCTGCCACAATTTTACAAACTCCTGTAGTTCCATCTTAATATTAATCGTCAATTTCTTGACTCTTTCAATTTTTTTTGTTCAAAATCTTATTTTCCAGATTTTTAGTTAATGTATATTTAACCACAAATTGGGAGATTAAAACCGGCTGCGACATGTCTGGCAGTGAGGTGTCTGAAGAAAGAAATATGCAAGAGAATATGACCTAACATATGAGCACAGAGAACACAAATGACAGCTCAGTTAAACAGGCTAAACATTATAAGAGAAACCCAGGGGAGGTTCTAGAGGAGAATTCAACATCTACAACGTTCTACCAGGGAAAACAAAATCCACACATTACACGTACATTGAAGAGGATGGAGAAGAAATTACCGACAAAACAGATGACAACAAGCAAATCTCATGAAGAGAGTTTGGTCGGGAATCATCTGTGAAGCAAATAACAGGACACCTGTTACCCAACAGTATCACACCGTCACAGAGTAACCAGAGACCAGTGTTACTAATCTCCATACATAGACCTGACTAGTCTGATAAAGGAGCGTCCATTTAGAACAATTACCCTGCAGGAGATGAGAGTATATATCAAAGATAATAAAAATAAATTATTATAATCAAAACTAAGCTCTAAACCCACAAGGCTCATATAGCTCTGCACTAAAAATAAAGCTCCATCCCTATCAGGACTAAAAGTTCTAAAGTAAACTTCCTTCCAGTGAACCGCGAAACCATTTCTGAGTGTACGTAACACTATTGTAGCAACAGGGTCTTTCCTTGTGTTGTCAAAACAACCTTCGTGATTGATATTCCTGCCAGTGAACTACAAGAATAATTGATGAATGCATATATTTCTATTTTAGCAACTGTTCTTTCCCTAGTATTCTTAAATCAGCTGTAATGAGTCATATAAATAAACCGGGGGAAACTAACATATAAAAATATTAAAATTATAATATATAATTAACTGGAGTATCGCCACGTTTTTATTCACCGAAAAGCAATTTGAATTCAGAGTTCACAGATGTACACAACATGCAATAAACATCACTTTCCGCGGAGTGGAATGCATTCATAAGGAGAGACAGATTGCCCTAATAGCAACGAGAGATGTAAATAAAACATTTGACAGCTTATGGTACAATGGGCTGACCTATAACTGTTCAAATATTCATGATCATAACTGGACCTTTCTGAGATTCATAAGTAACTTACTCTCCTACAGAAGAATTATTCCAAACTATAACCAAACATCTTCATGGAGTCACACGGCTCATGTCTCAGCTCTGTACTTTTAATATGTATATCGATGACCTTCCACTCCGAATCCATGATGATAGTCATTACACTCTGTATGAATAACTGCACACACATGGTGATGTCAAACTCTGCTGGTCGAAGCAGACGGAGATGTGCAAACTAGTTAGAAAACCAATGAAGAATTTCAATATAAAGCCAGATGGGAAAGATAGTGGTGAAAAAAACACCAATCCTGAGAAAATCGAAATCGGTACAGCAGGATCTGTCTAGCTTAATTGAAAACGAAGGAGTAATGACCACCAGAGAAAGGCCTGTAAACGTAATAGTCGAAATCCTTGGATACGAAGTTGACAGGTTACTACACTCCAGTAAGCAAGTTAATATCTGTGGAAAATTAAATTTACCTGGATGCATCTCAATAGATACATACCAGTAAATAGTAACAAAGATAATTATTATTTATCAAAGTTACATAGACAAGTAGAAATTTTGAGACACCTAGGTCGCAAAAAATGTCCCCCTTCGATACCTACTACTGTCATATCCACAAGTCACTCTTGACCTATATTACCTGGAGCCTGGAGTTTACCTCCAGGAATTCTGGAGAATTCTGGTAAATTTTTTAAATAAACATGTGGATTTGTTTTTTTAAATTAAAAAATTTTTTTACATTTACGCATCTATGTAACAAAGGAATTTAAAAAATTTAAAAACATTTTTTTCAATTAGTCTGGAGTTTAGTGGGCCCATGTCCCAGACCCCCCCCTCTACCTAAATTTATATGATAAAAACGGGCCAAAAAATTTACAAACAAAAATTTAGATAGTTTAAATTGGGGTTCCTGGGCGGGCCCGCCATTGCTTAATCCCCAAGTTATGCGGGATGCACACCCAAAACAATTTCGGCTCCTATTTGAGGGGTTTTTTTAACCCCAATATAACCCCTAGAGCGAAAAAAATTATCCCACTTTCTTTAGCGTCCCTGTATCAATTCAAAAACAATGGCAAACCCCCCCCTGCCCCCCCCTCAGCCAGCCGCAGAGTTTTCCCTCTCGTTTTCTTTTTTTCTTTTTAAAAATTTAAATTTTTTATTAAATACAATGTTTTTTACAGTAATTTTCATAAAAAAAAAAACGTTTGGGTTTTCGGAAAAAACATTATTTTTTCCCAATATCAAAAAAAATAAGGCCATAAAACTAATGGGCCCAAACACACCGGTTGCGATCGCCTCAGAAAAACATTGTCAACCCCCTATATACAGTAAGATATTAATCGGGCACCCCTATTAAACTAATTCTAAAGATGGGTAAATTTTCTAAAAGTCTGCAAAAACGCCCCGATTAGGGACATTCAGATTCACAGAAAAATTTTGTCGAGTGAAAAAGGGATGGGGTTAGCTCCACAAAAAAACAACCTTTTAAAAATGTGAATTAAAAGGGCTCCGCCCCTTTTGAAGAAAGCCGCTATAAAATGATAGAAATTTACAATTAAAAGAGAAAAATGCTATAAATTTAAAAAAAGGGTAAACGTACTAACTATGAGATCCCGGAAAATTCTGAAAAAAATTTTAAAAATAAAATTCCCAAAAAAAAAAGGGCCTTTGAAATTTATGTACAAAAAGAAAGTTTCCAAACCCCTAAGAATTTTGAGCAACTTTTCCACAAGATAAGGTTTGCAACCCCTCCCCCCCCCGTATCGTGGCCCAAAAAAAAAAAAAAATTTAAAAAACTAACAAAAACAAAAAAACAAAGAACAAAAGGGGCCCAATCGTTTAAGATGTTTGGGCCCATACAGGTTTCAAAGACGCCACCCAAGGGTTTTTAAAACTGGAAACATTTAGGGCGGGCCATTCAATATCTACATGTATTTAACCCAAATTTTCCAAAAAGTCGGAGCGTTTAAATTCACGTTTAAATAAAAGAAAAGTGAAATCATTAATTATCAAAACCAACTGTCTTGGGGAAAATTTTTATATATATTTTTATATATATATAATTTTATTTTATATAAATAAATTTTTAATTTTTAAAAAAATATTATATATATATAAAAATATTTTTATAATAAAATTGTATATATTTTATTATTTAAATAAAATATAATATATAAATAAAATATATATATATTAAATAAAATTTTATAAAAATAAATTTATATATATATATTTGTTTTGTGTGGGGGTGTGTGGTGGTGTGTGTGTGTGTGTTGGTGTGTGTGTCACCTAATTTTGGTTGCAGGGGTCAGACTCAGGGCCCCGGCCCCCCCCCTTCACCCCATCGCTACTAGGTCCTCTCTCTGCTTCCTGACTTTGGGGTGTGGTTTTGTTGTATGGTTCAGGGGTCAGTCCCTTGCACCTGGCCCCTTTGCTGGGTCCCCTCTCCTTTCCCTTTTCAAAGCCCCTTTTAGGCTATATATGGCTCTTTTTCCTCCACTAAAATCATTTTTCCCCAAATATTAAATTCCCGATAACTCCCACTGGGGAAAAAATACTTCCCTAAAAATTCCCCCTGACTATTGTGGCTGTGTTTTGTATGGTGTATAAGTCTTTTTTTGTTTTCCCGTGTAGGGAGAGTGTTAATGTTTAAATTTTTAAAAACACATGAAATATTAATATTTTTAAATAGTATCGGTGATTTTTTTAAAACCCATACCGAATTTCCCTTTTTAAAAAAGGGCCCATATCAGATATACTCCCACGCTGTAATATCTTTCAGGGGTTATGACTGGGGCCCTTTTTTGCCACAGGTCAAGACTATTTAAAAAATTTTGTGAAACCCCTCCCAAAGGAGCCCCAAAAAATCACTTGGGAAACCCGGGCCCCAAAGGGCTGCTAAAGTTCGCCCGGGATGGGGATCTGCTGGGAAAAGTACCCCTGTCCTTTCGGGGGTGCAGGAATTTGGGGGGCTTCAGGATCCCCGGTTTTTCCCAACTCCCAAATGTGCGCCCTCTATTTGGGTGGGAATTTGTTTCAGCAGGAAAAATTGGCTCTAGCCCCCCATCAGTGCCCTTTGGGAAGGGAAAATTACTGTTCGGGTGACCGGCCATCTTTAAAAAAAGGGCAAGGACCCCCCCTGGGAAAAAATCCTGTCTGACTTTTTGGGGGGGGCAAACCTAGGTAATTTTCAAATTGTACATAATTTTATTTTTGTGTTGTGTGCCTAAAATAAAAACTTATTTTTTAAGTTCTTGAAAAGCATCTTTGAGCGCTTTTGACAACGGGGCCCCTTCGTAGACAATTGGGGGGGTAATTACGCATTCCCCTTTCCTGAATCCCACCCAAATAAAAGGGTCCTTGCTTACCCGGGGTCTTATGGCCCAAACTTTAAAAGGTTTTTTGCGCGCTGGGTTGTCTTGGGGAAAGGTTTTTTTGGGAAAAAATTTTTTCTAAGTCCTTTAAATTTGGGGTCCCTTCATAGTTAAGTGTTAAGTTTCACTGATTACACCCCTGTCGTACCGGTGCTAGGTATGACTGATTATGTAATCACTAGGGCACAGGCACTTGGGTATCAGTGATTGAGCAACCACTTGCATGTCATTACCGGGACTCCCTTTCGAAAACAAAGGACACTGCTGTATTTTATAATATCAGATGAAATGCCTACTGCAAGTGTCTTAAAAATAAAAATTTACTCTATTCTAAAGTCACTCGTTTCTTTTCGTGTATGTTAAATAAACAAGGTAAGTCAGGCCAGCTAATATATGTAGATATCATATACTTAAAGGGTCATATTATCCTGAGATGCGATGGATGTGGTTTACAAAACATTAATAAAGGAGTCACCATTAATATTGACTCAAGCTTCGGCACCTGTTGTTTATGACCAACAGGGAGACCAGACACCCATATATATTATTATTATTATAATCAAGGGGGAAAGCGCTAAACCCGGAGAATTATACAGCGCCTAGGGGGGGATGTGGAAGGCATTCAGGCTTAATTTGGGGAACTG